GGGGGGGGGGGGGGGGGGGGGGTGGGGGGGGGGGGGGGGGGGGGGTTCGAAAGAACCACCCTTTTTGTCCAGAAAAGGTCCATTCTGGGTAAAATTTGATATAGGTACACAAAGGTTTCATTCTAAAAGGTCCACTTTTTTCAGAAAAAGGACTCCCTTTTGAACTTGCTGGCTACGGGCCTGAATTTGAACAACGTATTACTGGGCAGACATTGACAACGCAAGCTATAAACAGTTTCGCAACATAAAGTACTCATTGCTAACTACGATTACCCATTTACTAGTTTGGACCCATAATAAAGTAACAGTAGACCCACGCTCACTTGAAACACTGTATGAAACAATCGTGGTACAACTCCATGATGAAACAGACTACAGTCCATACACACACCCACAAATATAACAGATTACACATAAAACCCATAGATGTGTAAAGATTTTAAAATGATTAACGCCTTCCGACCAAAAAAGTTGCACAGCCAAAGTTACACAGCCACACCCATAACGAGGAGCTGATGTTTAAAAACAAAAGGACTGCATTGACGGGGACTTACGAGGTGAGGGAGTGGCTGTCACATGCGTGAGATGGAAAAGATGTCTGCCAAGAACTCACGGAAAACCATGTCTCTGATGAGAAAACATTCTCATACAAATAAACTATGAGAAAACATTCACACAACTAGACAAGGATTGGACGGTGACCGCGATTGGACAGTCTATGTACTTGTGACCTTCTGCGGTAACGGGGAAAGTCCATTCTTTGATATCATCCTGTGCGAGATGATATCAGCGTATATTGCCAATTAAGGGTTTTGGGTAGGAAATATGTACGATAAGACAGATCTCAATTTGTGTATGAATGACAAAATTATAAGTACTGCTTCCCCAGGCCCGCGTAGCCACCGATTGCAGATGGGGGTTCTTTTTCTGAAAATGCGGACCTTTTGTCATGTAACCTTTGTTTACCTAGATCAAACGTACCCAGAGTGGACCTTTCCCAACAAAAAGGGGGATTTTTTCGAACCTCCCGAAACCGCCTAAGTTGATTGCAGTTGAGCGAGAATCCCCTCGGAAATAGATCGATTTACAGTTAGACCTTGATTTGGAAATATGAATAGCTTTGCAGGAATTGTAGACAAAGTAAATATGACTTTGGGGCATTTCTAAGCGCGTACTAGTACCTCTACCTTTAAATTAAAAAGAAATAAGATAAAACAACTACAGATCGACAACTACACAGTCAAATATTTTTAAAATGCTCAAGGTTTCATCACTAACAGTTAAAAAACCATTTGCAGAGAAATGGTCAAAGCCTGTTCTATTGAAATACTATAAATTAAACATACAAGTACACTAACCTTTTAGTTTTCTAGCACGTATGATGCACCAGAACACAACTGCCAAGCATGTTCAACATACTAGTAACGTGGTCAACGTTGCACGAAGCTCGGATGATTTGAGGTCATGGTTGAGGGGGGGGGGGGGGGTCACGAGCCACGTGCTTTTAAAGTGTCACTCGTCAGTGGAGAGATTTATGAACAAGTTCTTGTATAAGATGGTTTATTTCGCGTTCTTTGATCTTTTGCGAACATCTCGATTAATACGGCCAATTTTATTTTTGTTTTCATCGATTTTTGTATGCCATAGTAAAAAGTTCTTTCATCGAGTAGTTTCAAACCAAGGAGTTGTGGATATCATCTTATCTACTTCCTTGTTTAAACTAAGATCCATGCAGAATTATTAGTAAATGTCATACTGATGCTTATGTTTGAGACGTATGTCACTCCGTATCATTATTCATTGTCATTCTTATTTCATGCTAAGCTTCACCTAAAATGAGTTGTGACATTTTTGTCCTAATATTGTTCGTACCTTGGGGCGGAACGACACACTTGGCAAAGTCATGCTTTTCAATTTCAAAGAAAAAATTTTAAAATATATGTTTCAGCTTGGATAAGTTTTTACAAAATGCCCGTCAGAGTAAGAGATTTAACCCCAAATTGTGCAATCTCAGTCTTGATAATATGGCGCAACACAAAGGATCCACCGAAGATCCGCCCCTGGATAGAAAGATAACGATCGGTCACGGTACTTTCTGGTACGATCGCAGTTGTGGATGGCAGAGATATATACAACTTAAGTCGGCGAGGTCTATGTATTTACACCGAATTTCGAGGACTAAAGCCGTCTCGCATCCATGTACATACACGACGCGCAAGGATGCCCTTCCATAGCACACATTATCCACTCAATCATTGCGTTCGTTTATTATTTACGCAATAATGTATTGTGGCCATATTGGAAAAAAAAAGACAAATTACAGTTATATATTTCAAATGTAGCCCCCCCCCCCCCCGTGTCGTTATTATTATTATTATTATTATTATTATTATTATTATTATTATTATTATTATTATACAGACAAAATGTCAAATGGTTTAGTATTGTTGTCCTATAATATCTTGTTGGATTGAAGTATTGAAGTGCTTTCACTGGCCGGCTGAGGTTGACTCATGGTATATCCATAACGATGACCACACCTTGTGCAAACCAGCATGAGACAGCCTTTGCTGACCTTAAATTAGAGAATATTTCTCTCTTTTTTCTCTGCTGTCATGAGAAAACGTCCAGTGTACTAATACATAAACAGGTGTGATAAAACATGTCACCATTATATATATATATATATATATATATATATATATATATATATATATACGCTACATGGAATTTCTGTTAATTTACCTTTTTCTAGGTTTTACATGGGTCTAAATTATGCCGAATTCTAACTGAATATCTTTTGTTTTCCAGAGGCCGGAGAAAGGGATAAAGAAGTGGACGGTGAGGCCGGAGAAGGGGGCAGCACACACGTTCAAAGTCGACCTGAGAGCATAGCCCCCGAAGACCTCGGTGAGTGTCAGTGGAATATGTCATTATCTTCTTTACAGCACCCAAAGTGTCAGAGATTCCTGGAAATTTACCCGTGGCATTAAAATTCGGAATTAAGCGTAAGTTGTTACGAAGTTACTGCAACGCGTCACCCGCGAGTTAGCGCAGGGTGTTCAACCGAATTTTGCAACCGTTTGAGTTGCAAACTGCGGCTCAACAAGGCCCAATCTCGCAAAATGCGTGCGATTCTGCATCGAGGTTGCCTGTCAGTGTAGTGCTTCAAAGCAGGGACGATGTCGCAGAGTACGCGTTTCATCAACAAAGTTGCCAGTTAGACAGTCTCGCTAGCCGCCCTCATGCCAACGGCGTTTCTCAGGTTATCATATGAAGTTGTCGGACCGACTACCAGTTTCTGTTACATGCACGAAGTTACTGACACGCCAAATCGACGCAGGGCCGGCCGATGATCCGATCTACACGTCACTTGCGTTTATCTTATGTAATTTTTAAAATCAATTTGAATATTATTGCTCATGTGGCAGAAACGCGCACTCGACGAAATCGGCCTCATGTTGTCTGGCCGACGGCGAAGCCCTTTGACTGCGTCGTCATAGAAAACGCGCAGTCGTCCCGACGATCTTTTGCTACTCACGCATCTGGCTGGTAGCAGTTGCGTAAAGAACATCCCGATGAAGTAAATAGTGTATCTTGTCATCTTCACAATATATATATATATATATATATATATATATATATATATATATATATATATATATATAGGCCTATATATATATATATATATATACCGAATATAGAGATAGTTTTTTTCACTGGAGATATAGTGTTATGTGTGAACGATATTTTTTTCACTGTCAAGTTCTTTTTTCTCTACTTTCCGATCATTTGCTTTAATTCTATTTACTCATTTGCCTGTCGGTAGCCATTTCTGCAGGCACATTAACAGTAGGGGCCTATTTCTCGCTCTCTCTCTCTCTCTCTCTCTCTCTCACACACACACACACACACACACACACACACAGGTTTTATCCATTCATTCATAAATTTAGGTGCAAATGAAGAAGTCTCAGAAGAGGCTCTAGAGGGGAGTCCAGAGCCCCCACGTATCACTAATGTGAAGACGGAGAAAGGGACAGCCAAATGGGATAACCTCTACCTGCCCCCTGCTCCACCTGGGTACCGGCCTTTCTTGGTCCTAGATGGAGCTACAGTAGATGGAGCCAAGAAGTCAAAGTCAAGAGCTAGTAGCAGAGGAGGTGGGGATGTCATTTTTATTCATGATTAGAAAAAAATTCAGTGAAAAATGAATGGCTTAGAATACTTATTTAATTTTATCAGAGACAAACATACCATTTTCAGATGAAATGTTTTTTTCTCTGTGCACACAATCTTTTATTATTATACAGGTACCGAGACCAGTACATATATTAATTAATTTTAAATATCATCCTGATTGATCTATTTATTATAATTAATGCAAAATTGGTAACAGATCCTTTATATATCTATTGCCTTTTTGCTTTAAGTTTTTCTCTATATATAATTTTCTCTTTACCTCTTGGAGCATATATATTTTCATAAGTACATTTTTTAAGAATGTACATTTTACCCAGTGATATTGAATGACAATTTGTAAAAAATGAGAGCTAGGCTAGGGCGTATTTCATGAAGCCTTCTGTACTTATTTAAGTGTTTGTACATTATATTTCCATTTACTGCACCATAACAAGAGTGAGAGGCTAATGGATTCCTCATAATAGTAACTGGCCTTTACAATATTCAGGCCTGTAGCCAGCAATTGCAAAAGGGGGGTTCTTTTTCTGAAAATGTGGACCTTTTGCCATGAAACTTAAGTTTACCTAGATCAAATTTACCCAGAGTGGACCTTTTCTCGGCAAAAAGGGGAATTCTTTCGAACCTCCCGAAACCCTCCTGGCTACAGGCCTGATATTAATTTTTCCATTGATGTAATATCACACATACATGTATATGAAATGTGTCTTATATTCCAGATGGCAGTGGACCTGGTACCAAATCTAAATCTCGTATGTCGGTTACTCCAGGTGATCTAGTGAGACCAGGTAATTTATCGAGAGAGAGAGACAGATCTGGCAGAGGATGTACATGTATATGCTTGATATTAGAGTGCATTCCCATAGATTTTTAGATCTATCTAACAGTGTGGGGAGTCTCACTAGATTTTTGTCAGCCTGACTTAAATGTCTGTCCTGCCTACTAAAAGCTGTAAGGGGGTAATTAACTTTTGTGTACGCTCGGCTCTTGGAACCTGACAGCAATTTAGCGTGAACCCCCAAGGAGTTATCTCGAATCGGATAGATCGATCTAAATCTATGGGAACCCAGTCCTAGTGTATACCTGTGTACTAGATGATTTTATTTCAAACACATATGAATATGGAATATTTGAAAAAATAAAGAAAAAGCTGTAGAAGACTTCCCATTACTGAAACTTTTCTAAGCCAGAAAACTTGGTTATATGAAGTTACATGAGTTGCATGAAGATGAGAGGTTTTGGCTATGCCCATAACTAACAAGTAGCATTAAGTAGCGAGTATAGGTAAAGCCTACCACTTAACGAGGAATGTTTTTTTTTTTTCTTTATCACAGGGGACTATGTTATAGCTGTCCATGATGTCACCATGCCACCATGGCAGGACAAGCCTTTGGAGCCAGCATACCTACTGGTGAAGGTCAAGAAGAAGAAGAAGCCACCCGTAGGAGACCAGGCAGGGGCGTAACCAGACCTTTTAAAATTGTACGCACAGATTTTGAAAATTCCCAGGTACGATTATATTCCGTGAAAAATACACTGAATTTATGGAGAATAATATCATGGTTGGCTCAAAAAATTGTACGCACAGTGCATCCGTGCGTATGCCTGGTTACGCCCCTGCCAGGGGAAGAAAAAGAAGTAAGTGGACATTGGCTGACCTCTGTGTGGATTTTGTGTTCCAGTTTTTCTTTGGACTTTAACCATAGCAGCTAACTTTAATATGTGTTAACAGTCACTGGTAGTTGTGTGTCATTTGCTCTGTGTTTGTGTGATTAATTGGCATTTAATGCCCTCGTCCAGCCATTTAATACTGGCCTTTGTTTTAGAAGTTATGATAGTTTTTAGATATCTTAGAAACTAAATTTCTCATGTTTATCTGCCCTTACTTAATCTTCTGAATGCAGTTTCCATGATTCCATTGTGTTTAGATTTCAGGGTTTTAAAATCAATATCAAAAAGACCATTCTGAAAATGCAGGGGGAAATAAGAAAATCCAAACTTGACTTCTTTTTTTTATCCTCACCCCTTTTTTTAAAAAGGAAATGAAAGGAAAGGAAATGTTGGATATGTTTTCTACTAATTGTCAAAAAAAAAAAAAAAAAAACATTATTTTGAGATATGGTCCAACAGGAGTGTGGATTGCCATCAATCCGTTTGAGGAAAATAAATGTATCTAAGACCCTCAAAAAGTTTCTTAGAATGTAATTTTAGAATGAATTCTGGAGACTGTCTATGAAGGAAAGTGTGCTCATTTTTAAATGTTGTTCTGTCAGATAGTATTTTAAAATATAACTGTTAGATTTTTCTTTATAGCTGCACATGTAGTAGACTTGTTTTGGTTGGCACATTTTAAGTGGAAAATGCTGTTCAGTAATTGCTCACAGATTTTAGACAAAATTGATAAATTGATAAATTGTATTACATATGAGATACTTTGATAGTGATATAAAAAAAAAAACAAACTCATGGTAAGTTATTTGGCTCCATATTTAAAAAATACATATTAAAAAGTGGCTAAAATGTTTAAATCTTGAAAAAATGTTTTAAAGAGTATGGTCTTTGAAATTTGTGCGCAGTTGCCATAGTTATAGTTTGTTGACCACTTGGATTCTGTTTTCTTGTTTTTGTTTTGTATTATTGAAGTGATAGACTTGTTTCTTTATTGGGATTTCAAAACTTAGTTCATGTAGCAGGGAATGTATGACAATGACTCACAAATTCCTAACTTGTTACCTTTCCCAATATTTTGTGACTGAATGTCATAAGAAATATTGGAGTGCAAATAAAATTAAGCAGCTGTTTAAAGAAAATATCATTGGAACTTCAAATATTCCAGGGTCCCATTCTTTCTGACATAAAAACCAACTCCCCTTTTGAAATTTCATTATTTTTTCAGCTTTACTACCATTACATTGTTAAAGGAAACTTAATTTTTTTGATTTGAAAATTAAAGTTTGGTCATAATATTGCTGTTACATAAATTGAGTTAGGAATGCCATGATTGTGTCTGGATCTTTTTTCTTACAATTTATTTATGGTTTTTGTTGTTGTTATGCACATGCTGAATGTTAGATATTTAGATGTATGAAGTGTTTGTGAAATCAGAAATGAAATATTTAAAAAGTTTAAATAGATAATTTTTCTATATTATTGAATTTTAATGAGTAGTTATAACTGTAACAAAAATAAATTTTCTGTGTGTTCTTTTACATAATAATTCCACAACAGTGTTATCAACAAGTGATAAATCTCTTTGTAATACCTTATTGATTATTTAGACCTCTAATTTCTAAATTAATTTTTATCCTTAGATTCATTAATTTTTCTTATTTCTTCCATCTTTCCAACTCAACCTCACCCCACTGAGGTCCTTTCATCTAGCTTTGTCTCTGTAGCAATGACTCTCAGCCAGTAGAGATGTGCTTCTCTATCCTTATGGGTGTTCCAACAATTCAAACCCAAATGTGGCATCTGAAAATTATGCAGATGTTCTTTTCTGGTATAGCTGATGAAATTTTGTGCAAAAAAAAAAAAAAAAAAAAAAAAAAAAGGTGTGGAAAAAATTCAGCATCCTTGCATTCGAAATAAGCAAACACGCATAAGCACACACTAAGGGAGAGTGGGAGAATTTTTTTTATATTTGAAATATTTAAAAATTAATATTAAAAACAAAGAAACTCAGTTAAATCAATATTACTGCGTGTTAATTGGAACACCCTGTTGGGTTACATTGTAACTTAGCTTCTTAGGCTCTATTTTAGTTATAATTGTAATTAATACCAACACTCATTTTTATTTTGTAGATTCTTTTTTTTTTTTTTTTCACCTATTTCTTCCTGTTTCATTGTTGTACCACAGAGATCACAGCAGGTGGGTGGCCATCACCTGGGGCCAGTTGGCTCAGAGATATTTTAGACTTGATAGTTGGTCTTAACTTTTAGACTAAGTATTTAGTGGGCTTTGACCCAAGGTGAATCAGAAGTAGTTCACTTCAATTAAATATTGCAACTTTTTATGAGATCAAAGTAATTGTCATTGTTTTAGACCAAAAGATCTTTTTTCATTTTTTTGTGTACAACTTAAGGTTTTGTTCCCGATTTTTTCTCACATTTGATTTAGATTCCCCTTTAGTTTTAAGCTCTTTTGTGGAACCAAGCTTGGTACATCTCTACTCTCAGCCATATTTTGAGGAGATGATAATTTCTTTCTTTGAAAGCTTTGAAGAAGTTGGAAGGAATGCTGTATAAATATCATGTAATTGAAATTAATATGACAAACTGGTCAGAATCGAGGAGAGCTTTCCTGTAATTTGTGTTGAAATTGATGCTATGCTACCTGTTTTTATTTCAGTATATATATTAATAATTGTGGAACTGAGGGTTATGTAGCTACTGGGGTACAGCAGCACATGTTGTGATTTCACGTGCAGTATGGCCTTTTTTGCAAAGATAACTTCATCAGACATGAGTTTTTTCTGCTGAAAAGTAGATTTCCGCTTTTTTAATTCAATTCTGATGCTTCCTGAGATTTGTCAAGGTTAGGTGTTGGGCCCCATGATAAATGTTCAGAGATTTTTTGTAAAACCTAGGATCATGTCTGCAAAATAATTTCATTAGCACAGTTATTTTATTTGGTAGGTATTTTATTTGGTTGAAATTCTTTAGGAGATAAGGTTTGACCATGCAAACAGATATTGAATGTTAGTTTATAAATATGAATGGGTATACTCGTAACAACATTACACTGCATTTTGTTACTTGTAGTCCGGTGGCTTAAGGAAAAAATCGTGACACGGCGGATAAAAGCACCAAATTTGGCATGTAGCTACCTTTTGACATTCTAAATCAAATTAGAGCCGTAGCCCTCTCAAACAAATTACCGTTTGGTCAAAAAATCCAAAATGGCCACCAATTTATGGATTTCTATAGAAATATGCACATACCTATGTTGGTTTTTATCAAATAAATTATTTTCTCGGAGTTTTCCACACCCTTATTACCCATTTTATTTATATATGTCAGATAGCAAACAAGTTCCCTTGGACTTTTGAAAAAATCCAAGATGGCTGTCATATGCCATAGAAACAGCCATAGGAATTCTAGTGCACAACTAATACCAGCTAGAAAGATACCTTGTCCACTATCAAATTAAGTCTGTTTCTCAGATTTTGGTTACCCACATAATATGTTTGTGGTGAGTAACTATGAAGTGTTCTTGGGCATTTTGGAAAATCCAAGATGGCTGCCATGTGCCACAGGAATTCTAGTATACGGGGGATTCAACTAATGACAACTGGAAAGATTAATTTTCCACTACCAAATTAAGTTTGTTTCTGAGTGTTTTCCACATCCTTTCCACCAACACAATATGTGTGTGGTGAGTAACTAACATGTATTCTTGGGTATTTTGAGAAAATCCAAGATGGCCGCCATATGTCATAGGAATACTTCTAGTATTACAAAGGGTTGGAACTAATGCCAGCTAGGAAAAATATAATTCACTATCAAATTCAATTTATTGTACCACCAGCATTAGCGCTGGCGGTACACATGGTTTTAGTCCCATCCGGTCCGTTCCGCCGGCTCCGTGGCCATGTTATCGTTACCGCTTCTCCTCCTAAATGGTAAGGGCCCCCATACCCATCTCTTGGATTTAGGTCACCTATAATCTCAACTCGTTCCACATAAAATTTGGGCTTTGTTGGTATTGGGGTCTAGGTGTGGCATTCATTGCAATGCACCCTTGTCCAAAAATGTCAAAATTAAATGCTAATTATCTACCCTACGGAAGGAATTATGGGAAAAATTTCTACAGACGGCTTTCCAAAAGTCATATGTGTAGATTTCAAATATGCCCTTGGATTTGACCTTTGACCTTTATTCAAGGTCAAACGGGCCAAAATTTTCAAAAAAATGAATTTTTTTACGAAAAAAAAAATTATTTGCGCTGTTATTCAGACACCACACAGACTTAACCAATAATATTATTGGAAAATGTTACCCTTCAGGTCATCTTTCATCTCCGTAAATTTGGGGTCAATCGGTGCATTTTCACGGGAGTAGTGGCCATAAGATACCGAAACTGAAAACTGTCTCTAATTCGGGAACCGTTAATGCTAGAGACCCATTCTTTTTTGCATTTTGTAGAGCATGTAAAGCCCAACACTGG